GCAACAAATAACGTTAATACAACTGGAATTTCTCCTAAGGTGGACGACCAAGAAACAATAACTAAAATTGTTGATGCAACAGGCATTTTTAATGGTGCAGCATTTGGTTTAAACGCGCACCTTGTGGGGCAACAAATAACGTTAATACAACTGGAATTTCTCCTAAGGCGCTCGTAACAATTGCAATGTGGCTTGTAAGCTGGGTTCGTATGTCAAGTATGTGAGCTCCCCATAATTACCGGGACCTGCATATCACCCGAAACGGGATCTCACCCGAAACGGGATCTCACCGTAACCGGTATCCCGCCAGGATCAGTAACCCACTGGATCGGGATCCTACCGAGATCAGGATCTCACTAGGATCAAAATCCTATCGGGATCGGGATCGGAATCTCACCAAAACGGGATCCCACCGGATTGGGATCTCATTTAGTTTGGGATAACACCAGAAACGGATCTCATCAGGGGTCGGTATCTTACCGGGATCGGGATCCCACCATGACCAGGATTCTAATTGGAATCACATCGGGTTGGGGATCCCATCATGATCCTTCCGGGTGCCATCGGAAAACGGGAAAAACGAAAGGTTTGCATAAGTTATTTTACTTGTTTTTAATAGGAGACAAATTAATTATTATTTTTACTATAGTGTTGTTGTTTTGTTGTTGACATTTCCTTTAATAACAATGTGAACTAAAAGGACGTAGCAGATGGTTTTTTCTGAATGCAGCCCCAGACAACTCCGGTTATAGTTGATAGTAAAGTTATAAAATAAATACATCATTTATTTTAACAAGATTCATCCAATTGGGCAACTTTTATAAAGTATCTTTAAAGACAGAAGACTTATCCTTGATTTACCACAATGGCTCCGTAAAACACGAAAGATTCATAAAAATGTACTTTTTTATCTCAAAAATTTGTTAAATTGTTGTATTCCAATAAGATGATGGTATATAACTTTTAAAATACTTTTTATAATTATAAAGAATTAACAATAAGTTAACACGGGAAAATAAGAGATTCAAACAGAAATAATATACGCACCTGAACTGCACTTTTACCCATGATGATAATAAATTTTTTCCTGTACTAAGTTGTAGTGTCTGATTGTACTAGTACTGTAACTACTGTCTGCGTGTTTGTAGTTGTAGATACTGTCTAGGCACTTGGATACAAAATTTTAAAAAATTCAAATAATTTTTTTAATAGCACAGTTAGTTAGAGCTAATTTCAAATAAAAAAATGAAACCAGAATCAACTTTTTAGCTTAAGTACTTTTTGAGCTATGAATTTTTAAAGTGTGAGTTCGTTTGGTATTTTTTACTATGGACGAAACCTCCACATCTTGTGACCTCATTCCGCTGATCGCGTCATGCGCAATGACTATATACTTTATATAAGGCAACGCATCGCCTTATCACTAAAATACTGTTTAGGGTCGACTTAGTTTAAACTTTCAACTTTGGCACATGAATAATTAATTAAAGCTTTCCCTGACCAAT